GTCTAATTGTGGATGTGATTTTGCATACATTTAAGTTTTCAGGTGAAATACGGAGATGCCCTTAGCTCATAGTTACTTTCCTAAGGTAATTTTCTTCTGTGAATGATTCACTCATTTACACTGACTTTCAGTAATCCCCCTAACAAAATGTTTGCCATACCCTCTAGTTCTTTTATGCTTGACTCTATGTGCTGATATAAAATAGTATAATGCTTCATTGCTAATGAGCATGGATTTCCTTTTAGAGTGATGAAAATGCTATAGAATTAGATAATGGTGATGGCTCCACAACCTTGTGAACATACTAAAAAATCTCTAAATTTTACACTTTAAAATTGTGAATTTTGTGGTATGTGAACTATATCTCAACAAAAACAGTTACTGAGTTTTTGGTTTATAATGGCAGGTTAACTACACATGCTTATTTTATCTACTCTCCCTTCCAAAATATCACTAAAATTACAGTAGTACAATATTTTAAAGAGGTACAGAATTTAAAAATATTTTACTTCACAGGGGCAGTAGAGAATGTTAAAAAAGGTTTTAAGCCCCAAAGAAAAGGAGACACCAAAGACAAGAGATTATAACAATTTTGGAAGATAGAAAGTGGAGGGAGGATGGTAACTGACTTGGCAGAGTGCAGGAAGTCCCAATTTAAGTGCTTGCAGGGGCGATGCCAGAGGAAGGCATGCCAAGGGTACATGTCAAAACACCAAGTCCCCACACCTGGAGGACCAGGTATCATAGAAAGCAGGGCTGAGGTCTGGGCAAGCTGCACATTCTGAATGGGTTCCCAGGTTCATGGCACCAACTTGCTCTGGTCACTGGAAGTTTATTATGGAGAAATTTCCAGACTCAGAAACTGTGGAGAACAGGGGTGATGGGCAGGGTATAGGAAAGGGACACATCCAGATACTCATGTGGGTCCCTTGCCTACCTTGATCACAGCATATCAGTTGTAAGATATTCACACTCCGCTATCTTCCTACTCCTGCCAGGCTGGAGAACGGATTGCTCTTCCCTGAAGAAACTGAATGACCCAAGGGGAAAATCTTCCAGCCACTTAGATTTTGAGGTCTGCTCATGTAAAGGGTAGCATGGCTGCCCATTACACCACTCCTTAACAAGCCCTGTGCTCATACTTGGGGCATCCAGTCACCTCTTGAATGCCCAACTATTATACAGCAAAGGAAAGTGAAAGATCGCCAGATAAAGGGGAACACTTTCAACAAGAAGGGGAGAGGTGAAAACAAACCAGGATGAAGGAACTTGGAGTAAACAAGCCAACTCAGTGCAAAGAACAAAACTGACAGAGAAGCAAATAAATAAAACAAAAGAATAAGCAAACATCCCCCCATTGTAGTATAATTACTATTTTCCTAGAGTTTAGAGAAAATATTATGTGCTTTGAAAAAAAGAAAGTCAACAAACAAGAATGTGGCCTTAGAATTTATAAGTATGATCACCCAAGTAAAATATTAAATTCAATAGAAAGTATATAATGAATAAAATAAGGAAAATTTATGAAAGGTAAAATAAAAAGTCAAAGATTTGGAAACTAGGAAACAGAAAAATGAGGAACAATTTAGAGGATCAGTTTAGTTTTCTGTCATTAGTTTTTAATAGCCAGCTAATAAAAATTTCAAAAAGAAGAAAGAGAATGGAGGGGAATAAATTAATAAGAAAAATTTATAGTAAATTAAAAAGAAAAATTACAGAATAGAATTTTATAAATTTTTACATGAAAATGGTCCACCAAGTGGGGGTGAAAACAAAACTCACAGTGAAGCATAGCATGGGGAAGTTTCCGGACAATTGGGGTTAAAATGAGATCTTGAACATTTCCAGAGATTAAAAAAATAATCACAAGGAATGAGAATCCGAAAGATCTAGAATTTCTGAACAACAGCATTGGAAGAAAAAATACAGAAAAACAGTGCATCTATAATTCTGAGGGAAAACAATTTTCAATCTAGAATTCTATACCCAGCCAAACAGGCAATCAAATGTGAGGGTAGAATAAAGCAGTTTTCAGGTATGCAAGAACTCAAAAAAAATTCACTTAATATGTACCCTTTTTAAGGAAAGTACTAGAAAGTATGCTTCAGAAAATGAGGCAACACACGGAAAATGAGAATGACATGGGATCCAAGACACAGGTGACTCATCATAGCAAAGCAATGAAGGGACGTTCTAGTCCTGCACCAGGCTTACAGAGCAACCAGTCTAAAACCAGAGCAAGAGAACAGGTGATTACAGAGGACAATAGAAGTCGACGATTATTCGATGTATTGGAATGCTTGAAAAAGTTATTGCTAGATATTTGACAGATCTGTTGGAATATTTGGAAAAAATGAGTGATAAGTGAATAAAAAACCAGGCAAATTAAAATAAATAAATGAAAGCAAAAACAGGGCGATTATTAACCCTAGGAAAAACAAAGTTATACAAACAAAGGAAACAATCATTGATCACAAGTTTCTGTAAGAATAATATTTACATATTTATAATCATATAAATACTGATTGATACCAGTATATTCAGCAGGTGAGGAAAAAGGGACAGGAAGGAGTAGATGACAAGAAAACTAAACCCTCAACAAGAAGTCAATAGCCTACAATAAAGAAGTATATAAATGGCTGTTTGTGTGAATTATTTAGCAATATGGAAATAAAGAAAAAATAGCTGGGAAAACAGTGAAACATGGTTAACTCTAGTGAGTGGGATTGTGGAATGCCGTGAGGTGGCAAAAGGGGCTATTGTCTTTCAACCTAAGCCTTTTAATGCCATTATAACTTTGTGTAAGTACTATTTTGATAAATATTAAAATGAATTAAAATGGTACTTATTGGTGTGGTGGTGTATTAGTTTGTTAGGGCCGCCATAATGTGGTACCACTGGGTGGCTCACACAACAGAAATTTGTTGTCTCACAGTTCTCAAGACTAGAAGTATGAGACTGAGGTGTTGGCACGGTTGGTTCCCTCTGAGGGCTGGAGAGAAGGATCTGTTCCAGACCTCTCTCCTTGGCTTGTAGGTGACTGTCTTCTCCCCGTGTCTTCACATTGTCTCCCCTCTATGCACGTTTCTGTGTGCAAGTTTACCCCTTTTTTATAAGGACATCAGTGGCCCACCCTAATGAACTCATTTTAACTTGATTACCTCTGTAAAGATCCCATCTCCAAACAATGTCACATTCTGAGGTACTAGGGGTTAGATCTGCAACATATGAATTTGGAGGGGACACAATTCAGCCCATAAAATGTGGGGATTGTCAGTTGCAGCCAAAGATTCTGTGGAGAAATCCTCTGTAGTGTTAGCAAGTTACTTAATTTTGGCCATGAGTCCACTTGTAGTCCTGGGAGGTCTTGCCTTCTGTGGAACACAAAGCTGATATTCAAAGAAGTGACACTGACTCAAATATGGCCTCGGAAGCTGTCTTTCTGGGACTGAGAACGCCACTGCAAAAACGGCAAACACCAGAATTTAAATAGGAATAAAAAGGTAGCACAATGAGTGTTCAGTGGGACCTCCATACTTTGATTGCATAAATTGTATATCATTCCATATATTATGGAGTAGAAGATCAAAGACAGGACTTCACAAAAATTTGCCATTAAGGACCTTTGTTGTACAGGTTTGAGGAGTCCTTTAATAAAGACATCCACTGCAAGAGAAACAAAGAGCTGGCCTGACAGTAGGAGAGAATCAATCAGCATATGTTTACAACTCGTTACTTAGAGAAAGAATGTTTAATTAGCCATGAAGTTAGTGTACAATGAGATTTATATTGGATGTTTACAGTCTCGTTGGATTGCTTCTTCAAGGTTCCCTGGATGATTCTTTTTTGCACACACTGAGACAAGAGCCTAAAAGGAAACTTGATGACGATGTTGGCATTTATACCACCACGTCATGCGGGGAGCTCTGGGAATTCAAGAGGCAAGGCTGCTGTTGGTTGGATTACATTCAGAATTGTTCTTTCATCTTTCAAATCATTTGTGTGTAGTTCTACACATAAAAAATGAAATTTAGCGGAATCACAGGGTTACAAAACCCATGAAATTGAACAGAGGCACAGAGTTATAGGATTCAATAGTGTGACCTCCAAATCTTAGGAAAATGATAAGAAAGCGTGTCTAAGACTGAAACCAATATTACCATGTTAATTGAACGAGATCCATCATTTACAGAAATCATCCACTGTAAGAGATGGTTTTTAAAAGTTTTCATAAATTTAAACGCAAAGGGTAACTCTCATAGAATCTTCGAAATCCAATCTCAGTTGTAATTGGCCTGAGGTACTCTTGTTCCATTAAATGTGTAAGGGCATGCATGTGAAAACATTAGCCCTGGGGTTGCGTGTGTATGTACATGTGTGTGTTAGGGAGGAGAGTGTGGATGGCTATTTAATCTGCACAGAGTATGGACACAGGAGCCTAAAGATAGGCATTTGTCGGTATAACTCCACCTCTGTTCATGGCTGGTGGGTTTGGCTTGTGGCATGTGGGGTGAGGTATAGTGTGGTGGGGTGGGATGGTTGCTACAGTGGGGTGGCGCATTGGCAAAAGGGTCTGTGTTTTGGTGAGTTGAGCTGGTGTGTGGTGTGGTTGGACTTGGCGTGTGGTTTGATGTGGGGTTGAGTTGGTGTGGAGCGGACCCCCTTGGTGAGGGGTTTGGCATGGGACGCTGATTCAGTGGGATGGGGAGGTGTGAGACTGGAATGTGTGAGTGTGTGTGGGGATATAGTGTGGAGATGGGGGGGTGTGTGTGTGAGATATGGTTGTAGCTTAGTTTAGCTTTGTTTAGATTTTCTTTTGCCCTTTGTTTCAGTCTTTGTTTTTGTCTTTGTTTGGCTTTTGTTTTGTCTTTGTTTCACTCTTTGTTTAAACTTTCTTTGGCTTTTGTTTGGTCTTTCTTTAGCCTTTTGTTTAAACTTTGTGTGGCCTTTTTGTAGTCTTTGTGTAGCTTTTGTTTTTAAGTGGATCTTGGCTAAGAACTCATCAAAAACACCTTGTGTAATGAAAAACCCGGATATATAATCTCTCCCTATATATTCTCCATGCATTGAGGTAGCCTCAACCCCTCCAGGGACCTGGTACAGACTTGGAACTTGTTTCATACAACACCTGCTACTTGAAGGTAAGAGGCTTCCATTGGTTTTCATCTTACTTCATGTTGTACTTCATCTTCAAGTGGCAAGTGCACATTTTTGTACAGGCCATTTCATTATATCCCAGGGGAAACTTGCTGTATGTAATAGCAGTCAAGATTGGGAAGATTGGGAAGACATAAAAGGAAGGAGAAGACAAGAAGAGAAGACACCAAGCTTATTCTGATGTGGGCAGACGGCCCTCCCGGAATGTTCTGGCTAATGTTTGGGAATTGTCTGAGCCTGGGGAAAAGCTCTGAACCCTAATTCAGATTCTCTCAGGTTTAAAGCCCCATGTTCCTGGAGCCAGATCAAGAACGCCACTGACCTCTTCGTTTTCTATTTCTCTTTTTATTATTTGTCATGATTTGAAAATGAGTTTTCTTCTTATCTAGGGCAACTTCTTTCTTCATACAGCTGGGTTTATGTGTGGGGGATACTAATGGAACAACAAAGCCACAATCTTGTAGGAATTTTGTCCCCTGCAGACCAGCAATCTTAAATGGAAGGACATTATGCTTTGTCTTATACAGGATGTCAGAAATCATAGTTTTTCTGGTTTTGTGGTTGATAGGAAAAAAGAAAAGATTATGTGTCAGGGGAATAAGGTCATGAACTTGGCTAGCGTTCTAGGAAGAAAATGTGGGGAAGAATTTCTAATGCTTTGTGAATAAAACAGGGAGGCAGAAAACAGACTGCTGTCAGCTGCGCAACTATATCACTTTATGTTTATTTAGAATAGCAGGAGAATGCCCTGGTGGGTGGATTTTAAAAGTTGTTTCAGATTTACAGAAAAATTGCAAACAGTACAAAAATTCCAGGTGTACCCAGATTACTCGGATTTTGACGTTTCACCACATTTGCTTTATCGTTCTTTCTTTCTCTGTGTACACATAAACATATTGTTTTTTTCTGAGCATTTGAGATTCAATTACAGACATGATCAAAATCAGAAAATTAGCATGGAGAAAATACTATTATTTAATCTACAGACATCTAGATTTCATCAATTGTCCCAGGAGTCAATCCAGGATCATGTATCACCTTTAGCTGTCACTTCTCTTTGGTCTCCTTCAATCTGAAGCAGTGCATAAGACAGTCATTCTCTTCCATGAGCTTAACAATTTTGGAGAGTATAAGGCCGTTATTTTGCCAGAGGTCCCTCAATTTGGGTTTGGTCTGATGTTTTCTCATGACTAGATCCAGATGATCCAGTTTTGGAAGGAAGATGCTTGCATTTTAGGTCATAGATATCCAAGATCATACTTGAAGCTGATTGTACAAACTTTTAATTTACAGTCTTGTTTATCTGATGGTAACTAGGATTTAAAATGAATACCTAAAATCTTACAAGAAAATACAAAAAGTCAAAAATCCAGAGCAGATTTACAGATAATTTACAGATAATTCTCAAGTATTCACCAAAAGAGTCTAAGTGCTGCCCTTTAATGCTAAGTGGTAACTATAATGACATGTCCATGAACTTGGTAGGTCTGTAGGGTGATATTTCATGTAGATTCTTTGTGTGTGTTGGATTCATGTCCACTGCTCTATTCATTCATTCATTTCATAAACGTAATAACTTCTTTCTAAGCAAAACCATCTGCTGAAGGCAGATATAGTTCAATAAAGAGCTGTCCTGAATAGTCTCTCCGGGCTCCCTGGCCACCTTTAGCGTGTTGACAGTTGCCTGGTAAAGAAAGAACTTGCATTTTGTTTGTTTGTAAGTGGGAACACTTCTGTTTGGAGGTGGCTGGAAGTTTTATTGTTCTAGAAGTGGAGACTTTGACTTCCCAGGAGACTTTCTTTGTTTTGGGAGAACTACTGAAATGGGTTCTTTAGACATGCAGATATAAAGCATCCTTTTTTTTTTTCCCCTTGGAGAAAACTCTGAAGTCACTATAAATCTGAATGCGGGGCAGCTGATTAACTTGTTATACGATCTTTGTAGAAATGTGAATGTGCTATGGCTTTAACAGGACTGTTCCCTGGATGAAATAGATAAATGTTTTCTTTCCTAAATATGGAATTAGGTTAGAAGTTTGGGTTCTGCACATGGTGCTATTTAATGTTGGGGACTCAACTTTGGGGAAAATATAGCATTAGCTATTATGATTGCCTTATCCGGGCCATAGAAGTCACCCTGGAGCTTGAGAAAGTGTTTACCACTTAAAGGAATGTGTGATGTGTTCCCATGAGATGAGCCATCTTGGATGGAAAATGAGGGCCTCCTTCTCTCACTCAGCCCACAGAATTCGGGGCCAGGACATGGAAGGCTTGGAAGGACAGGAGAGTCTTGTGGATGGGAGTTGAGTTGCTTTCACAACCTGGAAGTCTACTGTGCTGGACTGGGCCCCAAGGATTAGGTTCCATCATGTGGGCTCCAAGAGTGATCTCTTCTATTGGCTGTGCAGGCCACTCTGGCTTCTGTTGCTTCTGTTACCCCTAAAGCATTAGGTAAAAGCCTGATGTTACCTGTGCTCTGAGTGGTTAAGGGGTCAGTTTTAAAATGTACCTGGGATTTTGTTTTTAGATGTAGTGAGGCCAGGAGATCAGGAGATGATTGTCATTGAAAAGATAGTGTGTTACTCACAGTTCCCAAGAGAAGGGAGAATGCCAGGCCATGCAGGGCTGCATGGAGAAGCACCAGGGTCGGTCAGGAGTCAGAAGTAGTGAGGGGAAAGCATAGACAAGAGCCTTTATTGTGTTCTTTGTGGGGAGGAATGGGCAAGGAAGGGTAAGCAGGGTAGGTAGGTTTAGGATGGGCTAGTTCGAATAACTTCAGTGGGCTCAGGGGTGTAGGGTCTGTTCTGAGTAGTTTGGTAGCTGGCCCTGACGTGATTAGGACAGAGGAATATCAACCCAATCTGTGAGAGGTTGATAAAGAAGGTAGTTAGCTAGTTTAGGTTCTGGATTGGTTGGTTTGCATATGAAAGGCACGTTCACAGGGGAATCCTTTGCTATCTCTGGGAATTAGATAGCTTTAGGAGGGGCAATCTCTTCAGGATTAGCAAGGCCCCAGATGCCAGAGCATCAAGACTATAGAAAATAAGAAGATATAGTTTATACACAGTCAATGTCCACTTTTAGAGTGAATGGGGCTAGGGAAAGGAGAGCAGCACTTAGACTCTGGAGCAATAGCATTTAAGAGCTAGGACTTCTGATACAGACAAGCTCATGGAATGTGTATCTATTTCTTATGGGAGTCCGAAAATTAATTATGAAGATAGAGGAATGGATTTTCAGTGATCCACAGCGGTGGGTATATTAGCTTTATATTGCTGTGTAACAAATTACCACAAACTTAGCATCTTAAAACCATTCCCATTTATCATCTCACAGTTCTGTAAATCAGATGTCCAGGAGGCTAGGTACTCTGCTCGGAGTCTCACAAGGCTGAAAATGAGATGTTGGTTGGCTAGGCTCTTATCTAGAAGCTCTGGGGGAGAATCTACATCCAAGCTCACACTGGTTGTTGGCAGAATTTATTTCCTTATGGTTGTAGGACTAAGGTCACTGGCCTCCTCTACCTTCAAGTCAACAATGGTGGGTTGAGCTCTTCTCATGCTTTGAATCTCTCTGACTTTCTTCTGTTGCATTTCTCTGATTCCAGGTGGAGAAAGTTCTGGGCTTTTATGGGCTCATGTGATTAGATTGGGCCCACCCAAACAATCCAGGGTCATCTCCCTGTTTCAAGCTCTAAACCTTAATTACATCTGCAAAGTTCCTTTTGCTATGTAACATTACATACTCATAGATTTCAGCAATTAGGATTTAGAAATTGATTGGGAGGGTCATTTTGCCCACCACAGGGGGTTTATCATTAATGTAAGCATTGAGCACTTGATTAAGGTGGTATCTGCCAGATTTCTCCATTATAAAATTACTGTTTTTTTCTTTTTAATTAATAGATATTTATTGGGGGGTTATTTTGAGACTATGCAAATACTGTTTTTCCTTAAACTTTCACCTGCTAATTATAGCATCCGTTAGTGAATGCTGCTTGCAGAAATTACTACTGTGGTGTTCTAATGGTGATTTTCGATTTCCCTCATTGTCTCTATATTTATTAATTGGAATTATTCTTTAAGAAAGAGTGTCTCTTCTACCCCATTTCTTTATTTGTTCGGTTATTTATTTATATCAGGTTGAATCCAATGATTTTTATTTTATTCTTTCGCTTATAATCCAATACTCTTGTTATTTATCCTCTCACTCAAATGGCTTTGTCCATTGGGAGCTCTTTTAGGTTGGCTCCTGTGCCCTTTTCACACGTCCTCATTCTTTATGAGAACTTTCTTACTTTCTGCCACTACAGTTTGCTCCAAGATCAACTTGTATTTTCTCTACCTTAGCCTGAAATCAACCACCTTTTCAATGAGCCATGGCTCCTTTTATTGGACAAAGATATTTAGAAACCAAGATCTGGGTACCAGGTATATTCTTTGCTACTGGAGTGTCACTTCTTCTAAGCCCTATAAGTGAACAGAGCTAGGAAATGTATGTATGTATACTAATGTATATATACTCACACCTATATTTATCTCTGTATCTCTGACTGCAGTCCAGTGCCACCAGGTTCATTCTAGCATTCCTCTTTTCCTTATTTGTAACCTCATTCTCTGATAGAAAGAAACATGAGTCTCATTATCTACAATATATTTACTTATTTACTCAATCCTGGTATACATATGAAGCAGTTTTAGAGTTGCTAATGTATACTTCTCTGAGAAACAAATTTATCAGCAAAAGCATACCATTTGTGTATAGTTATTTTTGTCTTTAGCCTTATAGTATCCAGTTAAAACACTATTTTCCAAAGTTACTTAGGTCACCTCCTTTCTTTCTCATCCCTTTCATGTGGTTATGTGATTAAATTATAGATTGTGTGTAATCTAGTTCAATTAATTTGTCACAGTCAGCATTTTATCTTGGGTTTCCTCTCCTTTCCTACATCTTGATTGACTTTTTTGCTTGACTTTTAAAAACATTTCCTTTTTCTTCTTGAAATGCCTCATCTTGTCACCCGTTTTGTTCATCTTTCCTCCTACTTTCTTTAACTATCAGTAATGATCATATCTGAATCTGCTTCTATTGACCATTTTTCTCTTGATTTCAGTCCCCTTTTCCTATTTCTTCAAGTGTCGGTTAATTTTTATTGTATGCTGAGCATTGTAGATAATAGATTGTAGAGATTCTGGGTTATGTTAAATTATTGGAGGATAACCTTGATCCTGTCAAGGCTTGGTTTTAGGCCTTGTTAGGTCAGACCTATTTCATTTTTACCCTTACTCCTAGTTGTGGTCTCTACCCTAGTGTGAGATCTTTCAGAGGCCTCAAGGTGAAAGCCTGGGGTGTTCAGCAATGTCTCACCGTGTTTCCCCAGTAATGTATGAGCTCTGATATTTCTGCTTAGTTATCAGCCTCTTAGCAACTGTTCTTTCTTGGGCTTCCTACAGTCTCAGCCTGAAATTGTACAACTTTCGAATTGGTCAAGTATCTGAGAGAAATCGTACGTATCTTCTCAGTAGTACTCTACTCTTTTGTTACTCTCCTCTCCACCCCCTTCCAGATCCCTGTGGTCTTAGTAACCCCTAACTCTGATCTCTGTTTCTTCCCCTCTCTGCTTGAGCTCTTTTTCCATGTAGAGCAGTTTGAAAAATATCTTCAGGGAGAAAACCAGGATAAACGTGGAGTTTATCTCTTTCTAATTTTTTCTCTCAAGGATCACAGCCCTGCAATGCTTGCCATCCACTGCCTGCAAACAATAACTTTGTATATTCTCTTCAGCTTTTGTGGTTTTCAGTGGGAGTTGTAAGTTCAATACTTGCTACTACACCAGGACTGATCAATTTTTTTTTAAATAAGAGAGCTTGTAGAATCATAGGATTTCACTTATTCTGTCAAGCAGGTAGAAGAGGAACATGCTCATCTGATTTGACAGAGAAATCTTACAAAGATTTACACAGTAAGTTATAGAGTTGTCAATTGCATCATTATTACTACAAAAACAAATTATCAAGTAAGACAACCAATTGGAATTACAGGTTTCTTTTGGAGGTTATTTTTGTATCTAGAATCTTCATAACCTTATATGACCCCTTTGTTCAAGTAAGACTTCTGAGATCCGATATGTATTAAGAAAGAATGGGATAAATGGTTATGAATAGCCATGTAAATCTCCATAGTGTATGGGAAAACAAGATTGATATTTTGAAGAAGTTCTCCGTTTAATGCCTTATCAAATTGGATTCCTTCATCGAGTTTGCAGTGCAAAAACCACAGCTCTGTTTTAGAGCTGTAAGGGAGGAAGACATTCCTTCAACTCCTTTCTTGAGATGCTTGACTTAATTGTGAAGACTTGCATTTTTAGAGCCAGATTCTGAAATTTCATTCATTTCAGGAATTTCATTCATTGGTGTTATAAGCAAAAGTCAGGTTTGTAGAGATCAGATTTACTAGGAGAAATTACTAAAGATCTTTTACTTAATGACAGTGAATTAACTGGATGTATAGCATTTTTCCTCTATAATGATAAAATGGCTTTAAAAAATCTGCATGTGATTTTGTGATTATATCCTCCTCTTAGCCTCCAACAGACAGACAGCATCTAAATCAAGCATCCTGATCCTTCCTAGGACTGTGAGAGTGCACTTCTGTGTACAAAACACTTGAATTAACCAAACCAGTAAATTAACCAGAACACATTCTACTGCTTTACTTTTAGGAAAAAAAGAAGCAAATGATACCAAGACAAGCTCCTAACAGGGATCTAATCACCAGATGTGTGCGGATGAAAATACAGGTACAAATGAATCTCTTATACTCTTTTGGATCTGCATCTAAATTATAGTATAACGATTACTTGTATTTAGAATGTCAAAGTAGAATGCAGAATCAGCAAAAGACTGAGCAATCAACCTTTCAATAAGGGTTAAACTCTTTTAAAAACTGTTCCAGGTGTTTCCGAGTATTCTAAGTTTGGGGAGTAGAAATTTGAAAAAAAAAATTTCTCTGCACCAGAGGGGCTATGATGTAAGCCACCATTTGTCCACCTTTGGCTAACCCATGTCCTATGCACAGTGGAACAGCCATTTCATGAAAAAGAAATTTCCTTCCCTTTCATCCTGAAATTCTACTCAGGAGATTCTTTCCATCTCTTTGTCTTAACTGAATCCAGCCAGTCTTCACAAGTCTTCACCTGTCAGCATGTCAAATGGGGGCCATTTTACACTCCAAGTAGCTCGAGATTTGAGAGTAAGGTCAGCGTCCCGCCCGGTGACACTTTCAGGCCACTACTTCTTCCCTCTGTAGTTATTCCTCTACGTTTCGAAACTTGTGCTCCATTCCTTGTGTCCGTCTTCACCTGACATCCCAGTCACTCCTCTCCTTCAATGATGATTTTGTTACCAGGCTCCTATTCCCTCTCCATTCCAACTCCATCCATCAACTTAGATGACTTTAATGGCCACGTGAATGAACTATTCACTACACCAATGAAAGTCAAAGTAGAATGCAGAATCAGCAGAAGACTGACCAATCAAACTTTCAATAAAAGTTAAATAATTTTAAAAACTATTCCAGGTGTTTCACAGTTTTCTAGGTTTTTGGAGCAGAAATTTGAAAAGAAAAATTCTCTGCATCAGAGGGAATATGACCTGCACCCCATTTGTCCACCTTTGGCAAACCCATATACTACGCATTCTGCTTCATCCATCTAGTGTCATGCTGTGAAACTTGTCAACACTTGAAATTACTCCATCTCTGACTCAAATAGTGCAAACATCTAGGATCTCATTCACAACCTTCCTTTCGTGCAACTTTCTTTGTTAAGTATCCCACTACAGCTGTTCTCCCATTATGTACTTGTAGTTGACTTGCCCCTCCATCTCTCTATCCGTTTATGAATCCATTCACCTATCCATTCATCATCACCATTTTCTACCTCCTATTTTTTCCCTATTATGGATAGATTCTAGGATCCATCATTTCAATTATTCTCTTGTAAATTCTCTGGCAAACCTCAACCCTGGTTCAAACTATCTGCTTCTCCATATCTGCACCCAGGCTGCTGAGAACAACTGGAGAAAAACACAATGGGGGAGATTGGTATTACTAAAAATTAATGGGCAATGACCTCAAGCAGGCAGTCAAAACTACTTGGCAGCTTGGTCTCCAAATTTCTGCAAAATCTCTTTTGAATCCATTCTATTCTTTTCAAATCTTCAACTCTCTCATTTTCAGCTGATAACCTTATCTCCCATTTCACTGGAAAAATGAAAGCTATTAGATGGGAATTTCCTCTTCCGACAAAGGCCAGCCCTTCTGCATGTGCTCTGCTTTCCATCTCCTCAGGTTCTCCTCAAGAATACTAATTATTTCCTTTCTTCATGATTTTATTTCAATCTCTTCCTCTCTACTAGACTCTTCCCATCAGCATGTATGCATGCTTCCATCACAACAAAAAATGAGTCAATCAATCTAACCCCCTCTCAAAAACAAAAACCAAAACCGCTGGAAACTACATGATTCTCTAGCTACCACCACTCTCCTCCCCTTCGTTCTCAAACTTCTGGCCTGAGTTGCTTATAGTTTCTTTCTCCAAATCCTCAACCCCTATTTCCTCCGCAAACCCTCCAATCTGATTCCTGTTTCAACCATTCCTTGGACAGAATTCTTGTTAAAGTCATCGATTATTTCCATATCACTTAATCTAATATACCTTTATCTCCTCATATCATACCACCTCAAAGAGTCATTCCTCAAAGTTGACCACTCCCTGTTTTGAAACACTCCTTTCCTTTGGCTTCCATGATACTGAATACTTCCATGATACTGATACATGATACTGAATACTCCTAGTTTCCCTCCTACCTCTCCAACTCTTCTACTATATTCTTGGCCCTTCACTCCTCCTCCACCTAACATGTAAATGTGGGAGTGCCCAAGGCAAAGTCATACCCTCTTCTCATTCTACATTCTGCCACCAAGGCAATCCTGCCCATCCCCATGGCTTCAATTGCCACCTATACTCCAACAAATTTCAAATTCTATCTCCTGCCCAGACTTCTCCTCTGAAGTTTCCAGTTGACCCCTCCATCTAGATGCACCTCTAACACCTCACCTCAAATGCATCTAAAACCAAACTCATGATTCTGCCTCTTCCCCCAAAGCTTTTCCTCCAGTAGATGCTTCCACCACCTACTTAGTTGCTCAAACTATATGCCTTGAAGTCACCCTTTACTATTTCTCCTGTTCTTTTTTTGAACAGATGAATGATTTCAATGTGAAATGGCAAATATAAAAATGGAGCCATATGAATTGCAAAATGGAACAAAGATAAGTGGCATTTCATCCAGTTGAGGGAGTCTACCAGTGTAACTGCTATTGGGTGACTCAGAGGGTGGTCTTAGACACAAAATTCAGGAAAAAGGGTGGTCAACAATCCAGTGCTTATTTCAGCTTGGTAGCCTGGTCTCTTTGTCTCCCCAAGATTCACACCTTTGGGGAACCCAAGGCAGCTTAGCAGCTCTCACCTTCCTCTAGCTGTCGGAAGAGCAATAAGTCAGCCCCATCAGGTAATCTAGGTACTCTCCTTTAGCCCCCTGCTATGACCATAGGCCAAATTAACATTTAGGTTTTTCTATAAGACAACGCAAACCTGGAAGATTGATTGCCTTCTTCATAATTCAGGAAGAATTACACAAGAGAGGATGTGTTTAATCTACATACGTATACATTGAAAATCCCACCATTTTCATAGAGGAGAAAGACACAATCCTTATTTCTTACATCACAACCAGATTAAGAAAGACAAATAAGAAAACTTAGCATAACTTGAAAAAAATAATACTTTCTATGGAGAGACCACTTTATGTTAAAACCTTAATTCTTAAAATAGCCCTGCTGGGAATCTAACACAAGCAGCCTGAGTCCTACATAACACCCCAGGGAGCAGAAGCACCTGGGGATTTTAAAGACACTTTTCAGTTCAGTCATAGTTAACACTCATTCGTTGAATGGAGCGCACAGCAGAGCTCTGCAAATTCAGACAGAACCCTTTCCTCAAGGAGTTCAAGCTGAGATCACAGACATACAGCCACACTCTTTTCACGGAGTGTCATATGTCCCCCAATAGAAGTATGTATAAATTACAGAGATAGTCCAGAGAAGGGGACAAGGTGAGACCTTAGCTGGGTTGTTTAGGATGAATAGGAGTTCACCATACAAACATGATGGGGGAAAGGCATTCCAGGAAAAGAGAACAGTATGTTCAAAAGCTCATCTTTTGATCATAGGATGTTTCTGACCTATAGCAGTGAGGGGTAGTGGTGGGAGATAGAGGGGAAAGGTGGACGGGGACCAAATTCTGAGGAGTCTTGTGTGCCGTGTAAACTAAGAAGCAAGGGCGTTGTTCTGTAGCTGAAGAGAGCCTCTGAAGTTTTTGAGAAGGGGAATGGATAAACAGGCGACAAACTCAGGCCTTTGGTTCCTTTTCCTGGACCCTCTTGCTCCCATCTGTAGAAAACTATGGAATTATTCATCCACATACAATTCTTGTGTAAGTTCATGTGTCCAGAAGAGAAAACTATGTATTGTGTAATTTTACACGTAAGGAAATGAAGAATGTCATGTTATTAAAATTACATTCTGAAAATTACTGTATTTCTTACATGTTTAGCTGGCTCCACTATAATAAGCAAGGTTTTTACTCCTAAAACATTTGCTAAATATATGGCCTGTGTGCTAAGGATACCGACCTTGGGTGACACTTGTTCCCTCCCCTAGAATAGCTGGAGTTGGGTAGAGTTTGTTCAGTCGCAAAGGGCCTTTGCACAAGTCTGTGAAATAGTTATGTGGGCAATGTGGTTCTTGGACCGCTTGAGTTTATCCTTGTTGCCTGGAACCAAGGAAAACAGCGAGGGCTTTTTCATCTCCCCATATAGGCTGTCAGCTCCAAGACAATCAGCACCCTCTTATGCTGTTACTTTTTGATGGCCTTGGCAGGTCCGCAAATCAGGATTTTGGAAAGATGCTGCTCTCTGTGGAAAAGCACCCTGATTCAAAATAAATCTCGGTGTGAAGTTTTCCATTGCCCGGAACTAGTTTCCCAACAACACTCTACTGTTCAACATTCACTGTGTTAATTTGTAAACATTTTGGTTGCTAAGGAGACAAATGGATAAAGATATCCTTAGAGACAGCATGTAGTAGTTACAACCGAAGTTGATTTCCTCCTTAGGTTTTTGCTGCTGTGGACTGAACAACACACAAGCCACCGTCTTTTATGGTGTAAATCTACAGTCAGAGGAAAGCATTAGCTTTTGGCCTGAGAGAGAATTAGCAAGATTTTAGAAGCTATTAAAGGTTTCTAAGGGAGGTGGTGAATGTGGAATGAGTTTGCTCTGCAGTGATAACGTTTTTCACAGCAGCGGAGTTGGGGCTGAGCAGCCTTCGGAAGGACGTGGTATCGCTAGGTGAAAGAAGCCCCGGCCTGGAGTGGAACATTTGAACTCCCAGTTTTTATTCAGAAACAGTTCGTTGACAAAGCACCGGTGTGCATTCCTCACTTGCAGGAAGTCGTGGGCATCCTTTTGACAGCCTGGGGCTCTCAGCCTGGGACAGCTGAGCTCCAGAGGCCAACTTGCTGAATGGTTCTGCCCCTGCGCCCCTCCCCGGCATTCTGATTGGCTGCCTTAGCAACATAAATTCTTTTCTTTTTTGGGCCAATCAAATGGGCGTGAATTAATATTTTCTTGCTGTCATTTCCCCTTCCTTGAGTCCTGCGGAGTTAAGCATATTTGT